GCGCCGGGCTCCTGCCGGCTCTGGCCGCCTGCCTTCACGGAGGGGAAAGCAGAAGTGTGGTGTGCAGCCAGCAGTGGGGAACTGGAATTCCCCAGGCAGCTGCCAGAGCCCAGACCTCCCTCTGCAGATGCCAAACCCAGCCCTTGGGCTCTGTGAAACGCATCCCAGGCTCTTCGGACCTGCCCCAGTTGGAGGCCTGGCTTTGGGCAGTGCCAGGTCCAAGCCTCAGGCGTGCCATGAGATCCAAGGGAGGGCCCTGCGGGGCTTTGCGGGGACAAGAGGGTCCGTTCCCTCTGGGGACTGGAGTGAAGGACTGCCCTGGGGAGCCTCCTGCCATGGTCCTGCCTTGCCCTGCTGCTGCGCCCCAGGGAGAGGGCAGGATGGAGGAGCTTGGAGCTGGTGGGAAGGGAAGGGAATGGGCGGAGGTGGGGAGGTTGTTCCTCCATGCAGCAGTGGAGGATCTCTGCTCTTGAGCATAGCACTCAGGACTAGTTTTTTTTATTCTCCCCCATTCCCTTTATCCCCTCTGTAGGTTGGTTCACCTGGCCATTATCCACTGTGTCCCAGCTGTGGCACTCTTCTGCATTGCTCAGCTGCCCAAGGAGGTGCTGGAGATCCAAAATGATCTTTTCCAGGTATGCGGATGTGATAGGCAGAAGACGGGAGGGAGGCAGGTGCTGCCGGCTGCTCCCTGGATAGATGCCCAATCCATCTGCCCTTTCCCCGGGACCCCCCAACCGCTTCCTCCAGAGCGTGGTGAAGGTCCCATGTGAGCAGCTCCTTTTCAGGGAGGCGAAGAAGGGTGTGGGAGATACCCTGAGAGAGAGGTGTGACAGCTCCCAGCACCGAAGGGTGAAGGGCTGTTTTACGAGGCCCCAGGATGTCGCAGACAGTCCTGGAGGGTGGAGCAGCCACAGCTTGAACGTGGCAGGGGAGGGAAACTGGGAGAGTGAGATCTTCCCCCACGGGTGACCGCTGAGCTGAGGTGCGGGGGGTCAGCAAGCTGTGTGCACCGCCCCGGTGTCAGCCACGCTTAACCTCGAGACAGGGATGGGCTCCTGCGTGGCTCCTCATGCCTGCTGTCTGGCGAGGCATCCCCCCCCTTTCCTAACTTCTGTCCCCACCTCCTCTCTAGACCCCGCTCCACCTCGCCGTGTACCTGGAGCAGCCCAGCGTGATCCAGGCGCTGATCCACAAGGGAGTGAACCCCGGGCTGCAGGACCGCAACGGCAACACGCCGCTGCACCCGGCCTGCGAGCAGCAGCGCCTGCGCTGCGCCCAGCAGCTGCTGCACGGCACGGGCTACCCAGACCCACGGGCACCACCATGACCTCCAGCTCCAGAACTGGCAAGGTGAGGTCCATGGCCAGCCCGGCGTGGAGCCGGTGACCAGGTTGGGGCAGAGACCATGTGTTGTGTGTGCAGGGATCTGGGATGCAGGGTTGGGGTTGGCGTGCCTCGGGGTGGTCCAGGCTGACTGTGGCTCTCTCTCCTGCCTCCCCGTCCCAGGCTTGGCCTGTCTGCACATCAGCACCTTGAAGGGGAACATCCCGATGATGTCTCTGCTGCTGGAGAGCGGTGCCAACATCGACGTTCGGGTAAGGCTGGGCACGGTGCGTGGCTCCCTCAGGGCATGCACTGCTGTGGGGCTTGGAGGCACTGAGTTTTGAGGGCTCAGAGAGAAATGGTCCTTGAGGAGCTGTTGGGTGACAGCGGTCGGGGTGGGGGCTGCCCCCTCTGCACCCTGTCAAGGGGCGTGGGTGGGTGCTGCGGGGCCCATCTGAGGGGACCCTGCTCCCATGATCTTGTGGTCTGCGGGTTGCAGGAGGGCACGAGTGGGAAGACCCCGTTGCACCTGGCCGTGGAGTGCCACAACCGCAGGGCTGTCCAGTTCCTGCTGCGCAACGGGGCATACGTGGACGCCCAGATGTACAACGGGTGCACCCCGCTCCACCTGGCCGTGGGCCGCAAGGACGCTGCCATCGCCGCCATCATCTCCCACTCCGGGGCTGACACCCTGCTGAGGAACATGGAGAACGCGAACGCCCAGGACCTGGCTGATGGCAATGACGACGTGAGTCTGCGTGGGGGGAGGCCTGTGTCTCTGCAAGTGTGTCGGGGGGGGCAGGAGTCGGATGATTTGAGGGGGCATCTCCTAGGAGGAGTTTCTAGCTGTGCCCCTCCTCCCATGTAGGGTGCAGGCGCTGGCTCTGGTGGGGTGACTGCCTGTTGCCTCCAGCCCTAGGGAAAGTCCAGCCAGGGTTTCCTGGCACTTCCTCGGGGAGGTGGGAGGCCGCAGGGCTTGGGGAGGGGGGAGGTCTGGTCCCCTACCCCAGCCCGATGGAGACACAGCCCTGGATCCTTACGTGTCCACACCCTTGATCTCTGCAGCTCCTCGCCTTGCTGCCCTTCGATGACCTGAAGATCTCGGGGAAGCCTGTTGTGTGCTCCGAATGAGCGGCCGGACTCCTTTGGCCCCTCGGGCTGCCTCCTCGTTCTGCCCTGCTGCCCACTGGGACATTGCCTGCCTGCAGTGCAGTGGGAGCAGAGCCACGATGGGAGACTTCTACCCACCCTCTCCTCTTTGGAAAAGTTTTGTTGGCCTCAGGCTGCCTTCCCGGAGGGAAGAAGGTGGCACTATGAGCACTACACAGGAGAGGCTTTTCTTTTAGTATTTGTGCCCTGCAGCAGGACTGAATTTCCCGTCCCTGCCATGGGTCTGATTTGGGGGGGTCTCCAGCTCACCCAGGGAAGGAGCAGGAGAGGACTCCTTTTCACGCTGTATGGGACAGAGCATCCTCTGGCACCCCCAGACGCCACCAGAATAACCGCGGGGTGAGGAGAGCTAACGCCCACTCTAATAAACGTTTGTTCTTGCTGCGGGCACCTGAGGTCCCAGGATCTAACCCACCCTGCTCCCCCGCAGCATCAGGAGGCTCAGAATTACCCGGCCTCCCGGGCACGTGAGGGCTGCAGGGGCTTCCCCAGCCCGCCCGCTCCCTCGGGTCCTTTGCAGGGCAGTGAGTGGGAGTGCTGGGTCTGCCCCACTGGCAGAGCCTTTCCAGTGCTCAAGGCCGAGGCTGGGGGATCCCAGCCTGGAGCGCCGTTCCCGTGCTGTCCTGCCGAGCGTCTGGCTTCAGGCCTGAAGAAGGAGCGTAGGAGGTGCCAGAAGACCAGGTTGTGGATCTCTGCTTCTGCTGTTGTGCCTGACATCTTGCTGCCTTACCGTGCTGTGGTTTACTCTTTCGCTAAGATGATAGAAAGAACCTGACACATCTCCTGGCTTGGGAGGGTGTTAGAAAACTTAGGGCAGGAGTTTTGCCTGGGTTTTAGATTCCCCCAGGCTGAAAGCGGAGGAGATGGCAGGGTTACCTCCACATCCCTGCTGTTGTTCAGCTCACCACGCTTCACTGCCCAGGCCAGAGGAGCACGAGCGATGCGTAGGGAACCAGCAGCCAAAGGTGCTGTGGGAGCGGAGGCACCGAGCACGCCTGACCCCACCTCAGCAGGGGACGTTCCCCGCTTGCTGCCTGGGAGCAGCTGCTGTAGTTGGGGGCAAATCCTGGATGGCACAATCGCCCGAGGTGCTCTGGGGAAAGCCGCTGTCTTCCTCCTCCCTGCCTGGACAGACAGAGAGCAAGGGAGCGCTGCCAGGAAGCAGCGCAGGCTCACC